TACATCAATGAAATTTTTTCCCGTTTTCATAAAATTTTGTTCACCTTTTGTGGACCCATATATATTATGAAGTAAAATTTTAATGACCTATTTAGACCTTACCACTTCAAATTGAGTCAAACTGAACTGATTTAAACAATGAAAGGGAGCACTGACCTTCACAGATTTTAGATTTATTTTCAGAGATCTAACAGAACAATCAGAATTCCGTAAACTTTAGTTGTAATATGAAGTCCTCTCCATTTCATGTGTTTATATGTCTCATATTAAGGGACTTCGACCCTCAGCCGGGAAGGACAAATCTTTCATTTATAATTTAATTCAAAAAGTATTTAAATGAAGCTTGAAAATTAAATATTTTCATGCAACAATTTTCATTATATGCCTCTCAATGTGCTTCAAGGGTCTTTGCAAAGCTCCATAAATCACTTCTAATTTCATATCATGTTAAAAAACATTGGTATCTAAAAATGCTTTTTCGGGATAAAAATTTCTACTTTTAATTAGACCTTTCTGAGAAGTTCAAAGAACCCTGAAGCACATTGAGAGGCATATAATGAAAATAGTTGCATGAAAAGATTTAATTTTCAAGCTTCATTTAAAGACTTCTTGAATTAAATTATAAATTAAAGAGTTGTCCTTCCTGACCGAGGGTCGGAGTCCCTTAATTAAAAAATATTGGAGATGGCTATACATTGCATCTTCATAAACGTGAGAACATCACTCATTAATTAAATAACCTTTTTTCTGTCAAGTTGAGAAAAAAAAAATGTAGATGGCAGGATTTGCTCGACTTTTTTTTGCAATTTTCATTTCTGAATCACATAATAACATATTGTAGCATTTGATTATTGAATTGTTTAACAGAACATGGGGACCACAGATAGTTTAGCTCTCATGATCAAAGAGTACAGCATTCCCCAGATTTTTTCTAAACTTGACAGAAAGGCAGACTGAGAGTGAAATATTCCTATTTTTCAAATTTCAGTTTGAAAAGTAGGTCAAAGATGAAGTTAAGAGGCCAGTATTACTGGATTTATCAAATTCATTCTTCCAAGTAAAACAAGAACAAGGAATATTTATTATCAAACAAGCAATAATTTGTTTTCCTGTAATTCATTGTGCAGTAATCCCTGGGAATTAACAGAAATATATGAGTATTGTATTTTTCAGTGTTTGCCAACAACTTTTCATGTGCATCATGTGATCAGTTTCCATTAGTAGATGTAACCCACATCCCTAGCCCCTACATTGAAATCAGAGTGCACTATCACATTCCTGAAAATGTACTGAGATATACTTACTTGACAGAGTTCACCCTCACATGCTTTGGAGCCAACTCTGGTGAAATAAAAATCAAGTTAATAAAGTTTTTGTTAAATTCTCTGTATGCCTTATAAGCTAAAATATTATTGTTCTGTCAACTAAAAATAATAGAATTTAATTCAGAATAGCTCTCAGATCAGTACAAGAACTGGCTACAAATCTGATCAATCTTTTTGTGATGTGCTATGAGGTTGGTGGTGTCTCCTTCTTTTACCTTAATTTACCTTTAACGAATCAGGTCCTATTAAAATTGTAATTACCTAGAGCTGTACACCTGGTGAACTGGTCGATCGCACTTTTGGACATGTTATAGGCCAAGACATTTGGAAACTGAAATTGAAAAATATGTAAACTGAAAGTAGATGACAGTTCTGGAAAATGCATGAACATTAAAGAATTGTAGCCACAAATCAAGTATTAACAAAAAAATATACTGACTATATCAAATGATCTTAATACTGTAAAAGAGATTTTTTGCCCTATGGTTTTTTTTTTTTACCTATTCATCATAATTGCAAACTATATTTCGCCCTTTTTTAATTAATTCACCCAAAACAAGTTTTGGGAAAGAGATCTAATTGTTTTCTTTGAATTTGCACCATTTTACATTTGTTCCCTTTTGATGAGGGCAAAAGGGGCTAAAATAATTAAAGAGGATTCCCTATATACAGTACATACAGCAGTACTTTGGTACCTTGTTTACCTTGAACACCAATATCTTGAATATATTACCTTGTATATTTCAAATTGATTTGGAAGCCCCAATAACTCTTTCTTTGAGTATTTTACCCTCAGAATGTTGAACCTGAACCCTTGGATAGTTTGAAGTTTTTTCTTGGTCCCATCAAGTTCTAAATAATGTTGTTTGACTACAGAAACACTGATTTACAGTTGGAATAAACATTTGTTGAGTTTACTATTCTTACTGATAACTTTTTAAACAATTGTTAAAATGAATCACTGACTGAATGAAATTGGACGCCCATTTGACTTTTTTAAAGAATCTGAAAAGACTGACTAACTGGTGGATCTGATATTTAAGACAGACTTATAAACCTTTACTGATGATCAGATCTTGCTGTATTGACTTACTGATCGGATCCCATTCACACTGGACACATTGACAATGTTGCCTTTAGTCTCTATCAGGTGTGGCACGGCCAGCATGGTCATATGGTAAATACTCCTGTAAATAAAGCCACAGGTGTTAATGAAATCCCAATACCTTTAGCATTTAACCTCATCAACAAATTAAAGGACAGCAAAAGGCAGAGTATTTAAACATTGGGAGCCACCACACCTGACATTGATGTCAAAGATTCTGTCGTACTGCTCCAGAGATGTATTCTCTATGCTGCCCAACTCCAGAATTCCCGCACAGTTCACCTGAAAAGCATTTATATTCATCCTGGACCCCATTTTTTTAAAAGAATTTACATGTACATCTTAGACCAAAATGGAATTTTGAAAGTAATTTTCTATTTTTTATAAACCTGAAAATGGGTTTAATTTTTTAAAAAGAATTCGAAATTTAATCATGGATTTATCCGTTTTTTTTTTTCAAACATGACAAGGAGCACATGGTTGATGTGACCGGTCGGCAGAGGAAACTCACTTTTCCATGGCACCTGATCCCTGACCCACCTCTCATTTTCTGGAGGTTTGTAATTGCTTTGCTCATATTTTGTAATGTTTAATGGACTTCTGAGCTCAAATACTGTTTGTTTCCTCGATCTACATATATTTCATGTCCTAATTACCAGAATGTTAAGTTTTCCGAAGTGTGATATAGTGGTGTCCAACACTCTCTTTGTATCCTCTTCTTTGACCAGATCACCAGGTATTAACAGAGGCTGAAAAATAACACAGTGAACCAAATAAGAATTAAACAATGAAATACGATATTGCTGTAAACATGGTAAAGGTTATTGTATTCAGGTCAATTATACTCTTTCTGATGATGCCTTTTTAATCCTATCTAGATCTTGATTATCTTGAAAAGTGGGAGAGTACATAATGAACAGGATATCTGTCTGTTTGTCCATTCATCAGTCTGTTATGCTTTTGGGGTACCCTTTAATATAATTCTCTTATTCACAACTTCTCTTGTTTATTTTTTATTAGCTATCTCTTTTACAAGAGAAAATCTTGACATTCATGTAAAACATGCCAAGATAGATCTGTTCAGAGTTTACCATTTTTAACACATTAAGTATTTTATGAAAACTAGGCCATAAGATACAACAACCTCCTGCAAAATCTCCCTTGGAAACAAGAACAAAAATACTTATAACAAGATGTGTTTGTGAAACACTGATGCCCCGTATCATTTTGACAGCTTTTGGTGAAGGTTGAAGTTTTTCAAATGCAGGTTAAACTCACAAGGTCAAGGGATTAAAAAAAAATGTTAATACCCAAAAATGTTATGGTCAAGATTAACATTTTTTAAATGTAGGTCAAAATTCATTGTGTAGGCCATATGGTCTTAATTAAAAGTATCTAGGAGAAGGCCTTGCTATAAGCAATACAGTCAAGTGAAGTGTAATATTAAAACCCTAGCATCAACTGTTAAAAAATGATGAACATGCATAGTTAAAATTTTTCAAGTCAACAACAGTTGATGGATATGTTTGTAAAACACTGATGCCCAGTACCAGATTGACAGCTTTTGGTGAATGTCCATAAAAAGGAGTTATCTCACTGAATACACATGACACGTATGAAAGCTCTTAGCTGCAGAATTTTAGATGTCTGAATTTTTTTTCTTGAAAGATGGGAGAGCGGAATGCTACAGTGTCACTCATATATCTACAATTGTTGATTCACATAATTACACGAGATAGTTTACAGTACTTGCGAAATTTTTTTTTGCTCAAAATAGTATATTCCTTAGGATTACATGTACATATATTTCATGTATATAGAGCAAACACCACAATTCGTGAAAATTTTGTCTCACTTATCAAGAGTATCTTTTTATCTCGCAAAAATAAGGTGTTACGGAAATTTACTTATCTACAGTATACGGTTAGTATACCCTAGAACGAAAATAGGGAGTTTTGTGATGTTTTACTCCTATTCTTTATATACTTTATACTTTATTTACCTAAACAATGCTAAAATTTCCAAATGCTAGATTTACATGTTGTACTTTGAATCTTTGGATTCTCAGTCCTATTGAATTAAGTATTGCTGTCTGACTTTACTTTACTGTCATTCTTCCAGTTCATACCTTATCTAGACACTGTTCTCCGACTTTCTTCAGATTTTCCTCCTTTCTGCCCGTCAGTGCCACACTTGCCCCTAGCCTGGACAGCAACACAGCAGTTGCTGCCCCGATTCCAGAACTGGCGCCTGAAAAATAAAGACATAAAATGGCAAAAATAGACCAATTCATGCAGTATGTTTACAGGCTTATATAGTTGCAGAACTGTAACTCTCCGAAAAAAAATACATATTGACAGAGTCCCACCCATTAAAAAAACTGTATTATTGCCCACAAAAAAGTGCACTGTTTCTCCATTTATTTCTCAATGTTTTTTAAACTGTCAATGCAAAATATATGTTTCTAACATATATTTTCACTGTTTCCACAACAAAACATTCATATAAGTTGTTTTTAATAGCCCTCCCATGGCCCTGAAATTGAGATTATCGAAAATTTTGCCTATTTATACTGCCATTTTGGTTTGGAAGATAATTTGATCAAACACATTTCATTCAGATGTAAACTACAAGAGTAATTGATAGAGGAGAAAAATGGACTTTTTGATATCTAGCTTTTTTGCAATTGGGGTAAAGAATTTGGAAGCCAGAATTTATCTACAACCGAACCTTTTTGTGCACAATAAATATACAATTTTTTTCAGTGGGTGGCACTGTAGCTCTCCAGTAGGTCAATATATATACAGTTTGGAGAGCTACAATTCTGCAGTTAAGGCTTATATTTATAAATATATACATAATACAGGCAGTAAATCCATCACTGTCCATCAGCTGCTTTCAGCAGTTGATTGGTGCACTCTTGTCAGTAGATAACAATTTTAATATAAAATACATGTCACAGAAACATTATTACATATTCAAAGAATTTGAATAATAAGTATAATTACCTGTGATAAGAGCCACTTTTCCACTTAAATTTCCTAAACCTGTAGCCATGTTTACAAATTACATGTACGTTTAGATAGAAAGTGAAAGTAGACTTTGATTCGCTTTGACTTTTTAAATGTAGAGCTCTGATTGTCTGTTACAGACAAGGACAATCAATCGTTTAAAAAATCAACTATAATTATAATAATAATTACAAAAGCTGCATGAATATCTGTTAAAATGATAGAAATAATACTCTATTCTAATGTAAACATAATAAAAAGTCATCTAGAAAATGAACCCATCGTTCCAGATAAATTGTAGTTAGCGAAGTATATCGTACGGACATTTTTTATCCGGGAATTTCAATTATAGCATGCTGATTAGTTAGAAAAAAACTGATAAAATCAAGAGTTCTTGGGGCCCGTTTTTAAAAAGTCGTATGTCGTAGACTTGGTCATACGACCGAACTTACGACATACGACCGTTTTACAAAGATTTGAGACTTGCAAGCGCATGTGCTTGTGTACAGGATAATCCCTACCCCCCTTTTTTATGCAATATTAAAAAAATATTTTTGAAAAATCTGATTTTTTTTCTCATTTCTAATTTCTGATAACTTAATCTATATGTTTATATCTGAAAATCACAAAAATATATCAATCATATGCAATTTCTATTGACAGTCGTTTCACGTACACACATATATATATATATATATATATATATATATATATATATATATATATATATATATATATATATATATATATATACAGTACCGACCGGACACAACCTAACAGAAAGCGAACCCGGAGCGGACCCCGATTTCGCTCTCTGGGTCCGCTCCGGGTTCGCGTGGGGTCCGCTAGGGCTGACCCCGAGCGAACCCGGAGCGGACCCCAAGCGGACCCCGAGCGAACCCGAAGCGGACCCAGAGAGCGAACCCCAAATTCAGTAGCGATCCCAGAGAGCGAACGCGGGTTCGGTATTTCTTTACAGAGCTGTCAATCAGGATTAGCGATTAACCAATCAGCGCATCAACCAATCAAAATAGCATAAATTATGATCTGTCGATTGGGATATAAGATCGAACGTGTTGATTTAATTCGAAATAAATCCAAACACTGAACATACACGTGTAAATGGGGAATGCCTAATTGAAGACCTACAGGTAATTGAAGACCTACAGAAGACCTACGAAAGACCTACAAAAATTGGGGACATATACAGCAAAACTGATATAATATTCTGATTAAACATGCTCTAAATATATAAAATACACAAAAAAGTTTTATAAAAAGAAGTTTTAAAGTGTATTTTTTAAGCTCGGTAATGGGAACTATTTCTTCTCTCAGAAGACCTACGGCAAGAACGATAACTCGCGTAAATAACAAATCAGCTGTTCACCAAAACATATCAAGAAAATGTAATTATCAGAAAAATGTAAAATAAAAAATAATGTTAAAGGACGGAAAAAAATCATTGGAGATTCTTTATATATACATACATCAAAGATAAAAAAAAATAATAATAATAAAATGCAATATTCAGTCAGAAACAATTCTATTTTGTTAAAAAAAAAATAGTTATTAAAATTAGTAAAATTGTAAACACTGTACATAATTTATAATACCATTATATATTATGTCAATCATAAAATCATTATAAATACATACACTTGTATATACGTTATATTTAGTATTTTATATGTGTTTATAAATAGATCAGTATAATATTTAGTTCAAGTTTGAATTGTTGATCATTAATAAAAATTCATAAATGATTTGTGTTCTTGTTATTAATAATACCTAGTAATGTCATTTATAACATCTGGAAATTTTTATAAGATTTGCATTTATGTAGAGAATGAAAATTTTAAAATTGCAGTTAAAAGAATTTGAAGTAATTTTTCAAGAAGAACACAGACATAATCACTTTCAAAATATTATTTCCCCCGAGTCAAAGCATCAAATTTTTTTTTAAAAATATGCATGCATTTCTTATGTGTGATAACATGCATGTTTATTATTTTATTCAATTTTAAAAAGTGTGTATTTTCTTTTAATTTAATTATTGAATGGTACACCTGGTATCTTCAAGATTGATATAATGTACATGTATATTTTGGCTCAAAATGTAAAAGAAATAAAACATTATGTTTCATATTATAGTGCCTATTTCTTGGCATACAGCATGTTATTTGGAAATATACATTTAATTAAGTTATTAAATATTCCTCGTGAATGTCATATAAATGTGTTATACTGAAAAAATATGACTATTTTGAATATTAAAAAAAAAATTCAAAACGTAATTCATTTTAGTAAGTTATATTCTGAATAAATGCACAATAATTTTATTTGTTTATTCTTGCTAGCATTTTTAGGATATAAAATAAATATTTTTTTTTATATATCTTTGCTCTGTTGACTGCAAATTAACATTCATCAGAGCAAGTGGGGTGTGTTGATAATTGCAATCTAAACACGGATATATCCTCAGGGTGTCTGTGTATACAACAAATTAGTGAAGATCGAAGCCCTTAGTACAGAGCAATATTGGTTAATTGAGACAAATCCACAGCATACATATCAATAATTTGAACTTGAATATTTAATATTTATCCCATAAAACATATTAAAAGAATTACAATATTTATTAAATATTAACTATAGATTTCAAATATTAATTTGATAAATGAAATAATCATGATAATTATTTATATTTTTAACTTCATCAAAATTCATCATCCAGCTGATTTCTTTATCATAATTCATAATTGAAAAACTCAACAAAATCATTTGCATTTTTTTTATTATGTCATATACATATATAATTCTTCCTATAAACTTCACAATATAAATGAGCGTGTTGTTGTTTACAAGACAAGTCAGCCAGAGTTATCGTTCTTTCCGTAGGTCGTCTAAGAGAAGAAATAGTTCCCCTTACCGAGCTTAAAAAATACACTTTAAAACTTCTTTTTATAAAACTTTTTTGAGTATTTTATATATTTAGAGCATGCTTAATCAGAATATTATATCAGTTTTGCTGTATATATCCCCAATTTTTGTAGGTCTTCCGTAGGTCTTCTGTAGGTCTTCAATTACCTGTAGGTCTTCAATTAGGCAGGCCGTGTAAATGTGCTGTGTACATGTAAATCTATAATAATAATAATTAAAATATTATTTAATATTTATTTATTTTAATTCTCCGGATTGTATTTTAAAATTAATTCCTTTTTTTTATTAATTCAATTAATTATTTATATGTGTTTTAATATTTTACGTAGAATTTTCTATGAATATTTACGTTTTTTTTCTCTTTAGTTTTTTATACCAGTATTTAACGTCCATTTGGTAAATACATCAGCCAATGCATAAAAATCGAAATTGATATTACAATTTTTACTGACAAAAAGAGGAGAAGAAAGAAATCCGGACTGCTTCAGTGTACATGTAGAAAATACGTCTGGTTTATCGGGGTACACTTAGGTGGAGTGCGATTTCCATAATTGAACGAACTAATTACGCAAATTAATCACGATATTTAGTAAATCGTACATTGTTTCATTCTCTCAAACTCAAAATCTGGCGTAACTATATTTGACAAAGAATAATCAGAGAAATGTGATATAGAAAGGATATTTTAACATATGAATATGATCTATTATAAATTTTGAAATGTTTTAGGACTAAGTATTGGGAAAAAATAATTGATAAAGGCGTAAGCAGTACAAAGTTATGTGGGTTGTTCGAGAGTTGGAACATTTTTTAACGCAAACTAACTGTCGAGTTACACTTAATTTTGAAGAATAATCTTGTTAAGTATCATCAGGAATTGGGTCTAATTCACGTTCATTCTTGTGAAGTCATTCAGTTTGTTATTACCATTAGGACGGAATGACTTCATCTGTACATCCAGAAGGAAGATTTTCATATACACGCATTAAGATCAAGATCAACAATTTTGATGTAAATCTTGAATAATTTAATGTAATACGTAAATTGAGAAATCATAGATGAAATTATTTAATAATTAGATTTTTTAAAAGACCATGTGTGTGTGAAATAGGGTCATATATTGATATATTCTTGTCGGGTCGGGAGAACAATTATTATTTGCCCTTTTCTTTATTCTGATAAAAATCATACTCGCTCCAAAATTCGGTGCAATTTTTTTTTTAGAAAATGTCCGGTAAATATTTATTACGAACTTTTAATGTGTAACTACTATAAATGAAATCTAAATATATCAGATGTACAAAAGGTTACATGTATTCATAGAAGATTTAGCAAAACGTAAGGAATTACAAATGTATTTTTAAACTATATAAAGCAGATATTTAAAAGGTATTTATTTAAGATTTCTTTCGTCATTTTCACTTGTACACCATTCGATTCACTGAAAATCAATTCAACACTTTTTTCTTCCTCTTTTTTTCTTGTTTTCTCGTTATAATATAAGAAAAATAAATGCCTTATAACTTGCTGTTAATTTAGTTTGAATTTCTTGGGATCGAGAAATCAAGGAAATTAATTTTTCATGTACAATATGTACATTGAAATCTACGTCGAATGTACAGTGGAATTTTAGAAAATTAATCAATGTTCCCCATTATATCACTGTTTACATGTATAGTGTACATGTCCACATCGTCGCATGAACAACAATGAACGATCTACAATGCCATTTCTGTATTGGAATAAACAAGGGGCGGTACTTACTGGCAATGAGATTAAAGGTGGGTCTGCTTCACGCATCAGTGCGAAAAGCAGTCCCAGAAAGCGAACGCCAGGTTCGCTCAAGCTGACCCAGAGCTGACCCCAAGCGAACGCGTAGCGAACCCGGAGCGCACCCAAAGCGCACCCGGAGCGATCCCAAATTTTCTGTAAGCGAACCCGAAGCGGACCCCGAGCGAACCCAGGAAGCGAAACCGGGCGGACCCCGGGTTCGCTCTGGTGTTAGGTTGTGTCTGGTCGATACTATATATATATATATATATATATATATATATATATATATATATATATATATATATATATATATATATATATATATATATATTTTAGTTATATTAGTTTAAGAGTTGTTGTAATTTGTGCTTTATAAA